TACTGTACAAACATTTTTAAGTTCAAGGTAAGAATCACTTTCTAAACTTGTTTGATATATCAGATTTAAATTTTCATTCGACCAATTTTCCTTGTTTTCAATCAAAATAGATTGTAAATAAGGTATTAACTCCTGAAGATCTAATTCATTGGCGACAATCAAGGTTTTAAAAATTTCCGAATCATCAAAACCATCCAAAGAAAGCCTTCCTCCGTAAATGTATCTAGAGATTAAAAATATTAATTTGCGAAATTTAAAAATAGTAATATCTTATAATTAATAATTAACTTTATTACAATTTACCTTAAAATTATTTGAAAAATTTCAGGTGAAAGGTTTGGGAATGTAACATGCACCAAAGTTTCATCATTCTTCTTTCTATTTTTTGACAAAACTCTTCAAAAATAAGGGGAGCGATAATATAAAATGTTCATATGAGCTCGAAATATTTTCACATGAGGGTCATTTACCAACTTCAATAGTAATATCATAATATTCGTCATCTTCCAAAATTTCTAGAAAGTTTTGGGTTAACTTTGGTAAACATTTATCTTTATCCATTTCAATTGATTTTTTTTTCTAAAAGAAATATGTGAGAATAATATATTTGGGAATTAATACCGGTTTTATACAGTTTGATTAATCCAAATCTGGCAGGTTTGACGAATGATGATCTCAAGCAATTATTACCTAGCACTCCGAAAAAGGTTATACCCAATTGTATTTATCTAACTGGATAATTTTAAATTTGATTATACGTAGATGAATTTTTGTTCTTGCGATTATCCCCTTGCTATGTGCTATATAAAATGTGATTTGCAGCATTTGTCTTAAAGAAAGTACTTATGCATTATTAAATATAAGCTTTAATTTATTTCTATGAAAAACCGGTTTTTATTTTAAATTTGATTTAATTTCGTTTATAATAAATTCTATCATAAACGAAAAAACTCAGCCCATCATAACTATTTCATAAATATGATTACAAATAATGTTTGTAGAATGAAGTTTCGTTAAATATTAGATTGAATTAATTACTATTAAATTACGACTATTGAGCTCTTTAAGCGGCTTACAAAGCTTAGCTCTATAAAAAATTAAGAAAAGTGAAGCGGTCAGTCTTTTTTATTTTAAAATTAAATTTCAAAATTTTACCTTGCTTTTTTATTAAGAATCTGTTAAGTACGGAAACTTGTCAAAGTAAGAGAATGATAATCTCCTTTTTTAATTTTTTTTATATAAAATAAATTTACCATTTCTTCTTTGATAGTCAAGGAATCGTCACTACCATCGCGTTCGAAACGTTTCGCATGAAGGAAAACGGTTTTAAGGGTGTTTCTATGACTGGATTCGACTCTGAGATAGTTTCCTTCATTAAAACGTTTTTTGAACGCTTCTTATTGAAAGAAAAGCGTTCGGTGATCGGCAATAAAATTATGAATAAATCGCTCCAATCATTTGAATTTGTGCCAATATTTATATTTTATTCAAAGCTCCGCTCGAATTTATTTCGTATTCTCAAAATGCACCCATAGCTTTATACAAACAAAAAATTACTGTAATCCCAATTTTATCCCAAATGTTTCAAAATTAGATTGAAATATTAGATGAAGAAGAATATTATGACATTACAATTGAAGTTGTAAATAGTCCAAATGTGAAAATATTTCGAGCTCCATATACTACCGTTCTCTATAATGATGACGCCTAGTCCAGATTAAATTGCCAAATATTTCACCAGAGATTTTACAAAGTATTTTAAGGTAAGTTATGTTTTAAATTATTTGTTATATTTTTTTAATTCAATCTAATTAATCTTATCGTTTAATAATGTACATTATGGTGAGGTCATTTCATTAAATGAACGTGACGTTTCTAATACCTAAAATATATTGGTCCTTCTGACAAACCAAGGATTGTTTTATATTTTCTTTTAAGAATAAGAATAATTTTAATGAATTCCTTTTAAGGCTCGTGAGTGATCAAGCGTTGGCATTATTTACCACAGTAATTATGGTCACTCTTTTGATAATGATATTATGTTAGAAAATTTTTATTATAAATATGGAAAATATGATTACAATTGTTATAATCATGTAATTATCATAAGAGATGGCTTTTTTTCAATAATACAATTTGATTTAAACAAACAAACTTTTGAATTATTTAGTATATTAAAACTTTCAAAAAGTTCATGGACATTGCATTGTTTAAAATCAACATCCTTTCTTAATATTTAAAACCATGCAAGATTTCTGCAAAGTCAAAGCAAAGATTTTTTTTTTTTTTTTTTTTTTTTTTTTTTTTTTTTAATTTATTATATAAATATTTTGACGCGGGCTTAAAATATGTGATCATCATGATGCAAATGATTGTTTGGTCATAGATCAGTTCAAAGATAATAATAATAAATAAAAGAATTTGAAAGTTGAATGACAAACTTTCTTCGAATATTCATAATAATTCAATTTAAAGTTCGAATTAATTCGGATTATTCGAATCATTCGAATCACAAAAAATTCGAATTGATTCGAAATCATTCGGATAATTCGGATCACAAGAAATTGGAATATACTATGTCAGTGAATTTTATTTAATAATTATAATATTACTTAAATTTTGATTATAAAAAATTAATAAAAAATTATTTAGATTTAAAAAAGTTTTGAAAATAAGGTAATATACATATACGACAATAAAATTTTATTAAAAAAAAAAATGGTAAAGATGCGAATTTCGTGATATTCTGCTTACAAAAAATTCGCGCGTGTTAAGAAGTTTTATTAGAAGACATTAAAGTTACGAATTATTATAAAAAAATATCTATATATATACGGTATATGTATATTAAAAATCGAATGCTTAAATACCGCAATATAAACGCTGCGCCCGACACCCATAAAAATCAAATACCCTAATACATTTATTTTATTACTTATTAAATTTATTTATTTTTATTGAAATATTATAAAACTTATTGTAAACCTAAACTCATAATTTTAAAGATTTCTATTTTTTAAAAAAGAAGCAAAAGTTCTAAATAAAAAATAAATAAATAAAATTTTTCCTTCCTAAAATTCAAGTAAAATCCAGATCCAGAAAAGTATCTCAAAGAAAAAAAGAAAAGAAATGTAAATGATTTATAAAGACAAATAAATGAAAAATGAAAAAAACACCCTCCCAACTTACCTTTCATAGCCCAAGTCAAAATCCAGGTCCAGAAAGGCGTTCCCTAAAGAAAATAAGCAAAAGAACTGGTAATGACGTTCTAAAAACAAAAAAGAAAACAAAAAATCCACCACAACTTACCTTTATGGCTCAAGCCGAAATCTAGGTCCAGGAAGGCGACCCCTAAAGAAAAGAAGCAAAAGGAACGTTAATGGCGTTCCAAAGACAAAGAAGAAACAAAAACAATACCCCCACACCACTTACCTTCATAGTCCAAGCTGAAATCCAGGTCCAGGAAGGAGTCCCCTAAAGAAAAGAAGCAAAAGGAACGTTAATGGCGTTCCAAAGACAAAGAAAAATAAAGAAACAAAAGCAATCCCCACACCACTTTACCTTCATAGTCCAAGCCGAAATCCAGGTCCAGGAATGCGTCCCCTAAAGAAAAGAAGCAAAAGGAACGTTAATGACGTTCCCAATGACAAAGAAAGACAAAGAAATACAAAAAAAAACCCACACCTAACTTACCTTCATGACCCAAGCCGAAATCCAGGTCCAAGAAGGCGTCCCCTAAAGAAAAGAAAGAAAAGGAATGTTAGTAACATTCCAAAAAAAAACCCAATTCCAACATACTTTTTAATCCAAGCCGTTCAAGTAAATTCCAAGTTCTTGTCCATGTCCGATCCTAAAGGAAAAAAGGTAAGTTTTTTTTTTTTAAAAAAATAAAAAGCAATACTAAAAAAAATAAAATAAAATAAAATGACCGGATTATCTGATCAATCCGGTCATCCGCATAACGTCCGATCAATCCGATGTTATCCGATGGATCCATCCGGATTATCCGCGATCCGTTTTTTGATCAGATCGGACGACGGATTGAACGGATTTCACCGGAGCATACTCTAACCTATAGGACTTAGAGAAAATCCTAAGGTTAGAAACTCTAGCGTGTAGAATCAACTACTGCAGCCTTTCAACTTAGATGTTAAGATAACCGAAAATGAATCCGATGATAACACCAAATTGCATTTTTTAGTCTGTAACAAATTTTTTTCCTATATTTTCAGCAACATCTTTTCCAACCTAGCCTCCTCCATTATTGTTAATAAAATTCATTAAATTGATCCAATGCATTTCTTGGTATTGGATAAAACTCTGGAAGATAGAGCGTTGTTGATGATTTCATTAATAAATCAAATGCATTTTTCGAAGGTCGTTCTTCACTGAATTATCATCCAAATCAATAATTCTAATCTCTACAAAAACACCATATATTTTCAAAGCTTTATATACTTTACATTTATTCCCACTTTTTCTTTATTACCAAATTTCATTTTTCCAAAATATGCTTCGAAATTAACATTCCACAACTCCGGTTCAAGTGTATCAATAGCAAATGTTGTAAAAAAATCTTCAACAGTTATATTTTCATCTACCGGAGTACCTTCATCAAATAAAATAGAATTTTGTGTTTTATAATTAGATGAATAATTGGCATTTTAATAGAACTTTATGATAATTAGAATTAAATTTTTATTAAATTTATAAAATCAAGTTCATTTATATTTGACGATCATATGTATTGTTTGATCATATGTATTATTCGATCATATGTATTGTCCACATATAAAATTTTCACATGCTATAAAAATAAAAGCCGGGTCACCGGGTCATTTTCAAAATTTTGAACCGAAAAATTAACTTTGTCCGGCCTATTATAAAGTTGAATTGTAGTATTTGATCAAAAGCATACTTCACATTGTTATTGGAAGTCTTTTTTTGTTACTAATTACAATATTCCCAAAACCCAAGTTCTTATCTTTTTTAATTTTTTAATGAAGACAGTTTCTTGAAGATTAGCTTTACGCGTTGGACATCTTCGTTATGAAACTTTTGGTTTAACCATTAAACAAACAATTAACCGGTTAATAATTAGCCGGTTCCAATCACTAATTTGATTTTCATGTCTTTTTGTGCGACCGATTTCTCTAACATGAAAAATCAAATACGGAAGCTATATTCCGGTTTTATGATGATCACATTGGAATTTTCCTTTCCTGTCCTGAAACTTGTTTCACAAATTAAAAATTTTGACAATAAGATTAAATTTCGGCCGAACTTATGATAGTTAGCTCAGGTCATATGTCACACGACCTTCTATTTAAAAATAAATAAAATAAATTTTTTACTCAAAAAAAAAAAAAAAATAAACACTTTCACTTTTCAAAATGTTAACAACTACCGATAAGAAATTTAACCCTTATTTTAGTTGGTTAGAAAAAGCAAGATTAGATAATTATTTCAAATACTATAATTATAAAAATTTTACTAATAGGAAGCAAATCAGTTGTAGTTCTAATGGAACTGTTTCGCGTGCAAACTGGAATGATTCCGATGTTATTATGGTTTTGAAACAACCATTTAACTTAAATATTCATGAAATTGTTAACGAGGTAAACTATTATAATTACTTTAGTTATTTTTATTTTTATGTAAAAAGTATTAACTTATTTCTTAATAGATAAAAATGCATCGAGAAGTTGATTATCATCCAAACATTATAAAATTTTATGGGATATCAATACTAGAAAAAAAACATTTGTTGGTCATGGAATATGCTGATGGTGGTTCATTACAATCTTATTTAAAAGAAAATTTTATTAACTTAGAATGGTGTGATAAATACCAATTGGCATTTCAACTTGCGAGTGGCGTAGCGTGTATGCATAATGAAGGAATTATTCATGGTGATTTGGTAATGTATTTACACTTTTTTTTATTATCTTTTATTTGTCTATATATGATAAATTAACAAAATAATTTTGATTCATATAGCATGCACTTAATGTACTTGTACATCAAAAAAATATAAAGATTGCAGATTTTGGCCTATCTCGAAAATTAACTGATGCAACTATTTATTCAACAGACGTGTTTGGTGTTGTCCCTTATGTGGATCCAAAATATTTTAATAATGTCGAGAATAAAAATAAAAGCCGACATTATTATTTAAATCTAAAATCGGATGTTTACAGTATGGGAGTACTTTTCTGGCAAATTTCGAGTGGACATAAACCTTTTGAAAATGATGGATATGATGCACATTTAATTATAAAGATTAAAGAAGGCCGAAGGGAAAATATTATCAGAGATACTCCTATTGAATACAGTTGCTTATATAAAAGTAAGTATTGCCAACATGCAAGCATATTCTGAAATATTTAAATAATTTAACTGGTTAAATTTTTTATTAGAATGTTGGGAGGAAGATCCAAGTAAACGACCATCTATGAAACAAGTTGTCGAATCGCTTAATACAATAATATTTAAAGAGAATAATAATGTAATACATTCTGTTAATTGCATAGAAAGTAAATTAGAAATGTTAGAAGATACGAATTCATTATCATCAGAAACTGATTCCGAGTTATATATAAGTAAATTAATACATAATTTACAAGATTACCATTCGGAATCAATGAATAATGAATGTGATTCACATATAATATCACAAGCAAAAATATTATTTTTTGAAATATATGATATAGCGGATAGCATAAGTATTCTCATTGATAAGTTAATTGCACTTTTAATTCAAACACATGATGAAGGAAATGATTTTAACGAATCAAAGCATTTTATAAACCAATGTATATTTCTTTCGAACAAATATTCACATGATATTTTTGATTGGCTTAAAGGAAATGAAAATCAAATGGAATCAAAATACCTATTTTTCCTTGGATTTTTTTATTATAACTTTAAGAATGATAAAACTAAAGCTTTCGATTTATTTTTAAAGGTATCCACTAATAATTATCCTATTGCACAAGTTTATTTAAGCTTATGTTATAAAGAAGGATTTGGAATTAAGTCGAATAATAATTTGGCATATAATTGGATACAAAAAGCCGTAAAAAACGGAAGCATTTTTGGACAATTTAATCTTGGTGTTTATTATGAAAATATTGAAAAAGACTTTGATAAAGCCATTTATTGGTATCAAACATCAACAAGTAATGGAAATTTAAGTGGTTTATATAATCTAGGTAGATGTTATGAATTAGGAAAAGGAATTAAAAAATGTGCAAATAAAGCATTGGATATATACAAGGAATTATCTGAAAAAGAAGTTATGAGTGGAAAATATAGACTCGGAATATGTTATTATTTTGGAATTGGAACTCATATTAATAAAGTAAAGGCATTTAATATATGTAAATATTTAGCTGAGAATGGATATCAAAAATCACATGTATTTTTTGGTCATTTATATTATAATGGTGAAGGTACAGAAAAGGATTTAGAAAAGAGCTTTTATTGGTATCAAAAAGCAGCGGAAAATGGATATGGATTTGCACAATATAACCTTGGTCATTTATTTGAAAAAGGTTTAGGGACAATGAAGGATTTAAAAATGGCTTTTTACTGGTATCAAAAAGCAGCAGAAAATGGATATGGATTTGCACAAAATAATCTTGGTTATTTATATGAAAGGGGTATAGGAATAATAAAGAATTTAGAAATGGCATTTTTCTGGTATCAAAAAGCTGCAGAAAATGGACATGGACTCTCACAAAAAAATCTTGCAATATTATACTATAAAGGTGAAGGAATAGTTAAGAATTTTGAAAAAGCTTTTTATTGGTATCAAAAAGCAGCAGAAAGTGGTAATGTACTTGCATGGTGTAATTTAGCTATATGTTATGAAAAAGGTGAAGGCATAGAAAAGGATTTAGAAAAGGCCTTTTATTGGTATCAAAAGGCAGCAAATAGCGGTAATTTTGTTTCAATGTTTAACTTAGCTTTATGTTATGAAAAAGGTGAAGGCACAAAAAAGGATTTAGAAAAGGCATTTTATTGGCATCATAAAGCAGCTGTATGTGGTATTAAAGTTGCAATGTTTAACTTAGCTATATGTTATGAAAAAGGTGAAGGCACAGAAAAAGATTTAGAAAAGGCATTTTATTGGCACCATAAAGCAGCTAAATTGGGTATTAAGGTTGCGATGTATAATTCTGCTATATGTTATGAACAAGGTGCAGGAGTAGAAAAGAATTTTGAAAAGGCCTTTTATTGGTATCAAAAAGCAGCAGAAAATAATTATATTAAAGCACAAAATAGACTTGGTTATTTATATAAAAAGGGCAAAGGAATTGAAAGAAATTTAGAAACGTCCTTTTATTGGCATAAACAATCAGCAGAAAATGGACTTGTTTCTGCACAATATAGTCTTGGCCGTTATTATGAAAAAGGTATGGGAACAATAAAGAATTTAGAAATGACTTTTTACTGGTATCAAAAAGCAGCAGAAAATAGTGATATGCATGCACAAGCACAAGCTAAATTTGCACGATTATATGAACAAGGTTTAGGGACAAGAAAATGTATAGAATATGCTATTTATTGGTATGAGAAAGCGAAAAGAAATGGAAATCAAAAGGTCGAAAAAAGGTTGAATAATCTTGTAAAGCAGCAAAAGAGAATTAAAATCAAGAATAAAATGAAAATTTTGCTTTCATGATTGTTATTCTTATAAATATTCATTATTAGTAGCGTCAACTTTAAATTTGTATCATATATCATTTGTCTTGAGTCGATATTTAAAAACTACTATTAATAAAATTTATATACAATGCACATTTATACGAATGTGAGCTTCTATTAACAGCTCGTTTTTTCAAAAATAAAAAAATCCCATTAATAATAAATTATACCTTCGGGTAGTGTTGTGCTGGGAATGTCCCAGATGTGCTTGGGACAATTGAGACATAATGAGGGACAGTCTTACAATGCTTGGGACATGGAAAATTGACAACTCTGCCTTCGGGCACGGTCTCTAAAAAAAATTTTTCTTTGGGATTTTTCAAAAAACGAAGAGACACATTTTAACAATAAATCAATTTAACTATACTTTGTTTTAATGTCGCTTATTTATACGAACTTTAGAATTTGAGTGTTGTTATCAGGAAATGTTTCCTCCGATTACTATTCTAAATCCATAAATTAAATTATATAGGTTTTACATATAGGCTTTTTTTAATTAGTTCAACTGTTCGTTTGTAACTTCTTTTTCGTGAACATATGTAATCATAGTAATGTGATGTGGTTATTTACAATTAAATTTAAAATTCAATAATCAAATCATTTAAACTTTCAAAATTTAAATTAAGTTCATTAATTTTCGTAACCAATAAAATACTTTAATGATTTTAAAGGATATAATTCATCCTTAAAGATTTTATCTTCGAATTAAATAGTTATTATATTATAAATATGATAATAATGTATAGACACCATCAATCTTATTAAATTAAATTACCATAAAAAAATAAAATTAAGCCCTGAATAATGCGATAATCCATCCACATAAACGAGGAAGGAAATATTGAAATGAATAGATCAGAAACTATCTTATAGAGCCATTAGCAAATTACGACCTTATTCCAAATTAGGTTACTATAGCAAAATATCCAACCAATGCATTATTATTTTTACTCGTTACTAGATATCTTTTAATTATTATGCAACAAAATAAAAACATGCTATTTTTAACGTACTGATATTTTTTCAGACAGATTAAACTATGTATGTTTGCATAAATATCACTATTTAACGCATTACATCATTTGGATTAAAATATTATATATAAAATTACGATTATACATTAATTTTTTCCTTTAAGACTAGAAATTTGCACCGCAATTAAATAGCTCTTTAAAGCGACCAACATTCATTGGACGGTTTTTTTATGAATTTCGTTAAATTTTCATGTGATACTAAAAAATGAATTGAAATGAATAAATTAGCAAAAAGTTTAAAACAATGTTTAAGAATTTAATACAAATATTTTTACCTACTTTTGCAGTTTTAAATTTTCTTTTCCAATTATTTGTTTATCATTTCCATTAAGTATACATGAATTAGTCCCAGTTCTTAAAATAAAATTTCTAAAACAGGGTTCGATATCTTTTTAATTGGACGTGGATATATTATCTCCTTTATTATACAAAACCATGGAACAATTAGATAAACTAGTCTAACGTACCTATAACGACTTTGGATATGATATAAAGAGTAATTATTTTCTATGCAATGACAGAAAGCCATATTTATATTTACTAGTTCTAAAAAGATAGACATTATGATTTTGGTTTTAGCCCGCATCAAAACCACTCAATAATTTACCGACATATAGACTATAAAGTAAAAATTTTTTTTGATAGCTTCCTCCCTTTTACTCTTTTTACTGCAAGCGTCCATATTATCAATATTAATTACGATACTCAAAAATTTTTTTTCTCAAAAAAAAAAATGGACGTAAAAAATGCCAAAATCCCTCTACTTAGTCGTGCTGTGTAAGTTTTCATGAAAATTATTGAAGGGATTTCGAAAATGGTGGTAATTGTTACAAAATTTTATAACCAAGTTTAGTAATAAATCAATGTAATAATGTAATAATAGTTGCCGAAGCAAAACATCGTGAAGCCCTTGAAAAAGAAGAGCAAAGAATTGTTTCACAAAATGAATTGGGAAGTTACATATTTAACTTAGGTAACAAACTTGATGTAAGTTTTATTTAACATTTAAATTATAATACAGTATATAGTCTAATTATCCCTATTTGATAGGAACTACAATTCCTAACCAACTCAACGATATAATTCAAGATGCTATTATATGGCTTGAAGGAACCAAGAAGCGAATAAAAAGAAATTAGATAATAAAGGAACGCTCACTAATTTACTTACAATAATCCTTTGTTTATTATTTATAAATTGGAGGTTTGCTATTAAAATTACGTTACGAATCATATGATATACTATGTTCGTAACTCGATTAACCTCCCAAATATGCAAAAATTATTAAAACAATTTCTTGAATCCATTTAATATACCTATTAGATTAATTTTTATCTAAAACGAAATACATATACGAATAATTAAGATCAATGAAGTTTACATTTGCAGTTAGATGATAAAAATTTAAATATTTGCTCTCTCATAAGATAAATTTAAGGCTTGTTAGCATTATGTAAATACTTGCTAAAAAAAATAAAAAAGGTTAAAAAAAGGATATTGAGCGATACATCAAATGGAGAATCTAAATCTAATGTACTGTAATCGTTAACTATCCAAGCCTAAATAGGCACGTCATCATTATTGAATTAAGAGAAAATTAATTCGAAATTCCATACCCAATTTAAAGATAAAACAGGCTATCCATATGGTAAAATCTTTTCTGTTATAAAAAAAAAAAAAAAAAAAAAAAGAATTTAAAAATATAATAAATTGAACTCAAAAAATGTTTCTGTAAATATTTACATATATGCGCCAAATTGAAAAATCTGGACAATCCATGGCAAGCGTAGTATTAGCAAATTATTGTTTTCTCCCCAAATTAAATGAACAATAACAATATCATTAACAGATTTTAAAAAGATCTAATTCGTGTCAATGCTTATAGTTCTTTTCGTCCACCGTTCTACTAAGGTAAGTATAGTATTTTTAAATAAAAAAAGTGTATAACTAAAGAATTCTCCATTAAGACTACCTCCGATCCAAATATTCAAGGTCCCTACCCCTAATAAGGTTTTAAGGTTCTGACCGATACGTTTAAGTTCAGCCTAAAAAATAAAGAAACATTTCTAAAAGACAAATAATTAAACCCATTATCTGATATTGAATATTCAAAAACATTTTTTGGGCTCCAAATTTTTTTAAGAAATTTTTTCTTTTTTTTTTAAGAAAATGTTTAAAAAAAAAATTAGTTTTATATATCCATGGAAATAAATACTTCTGACATTAAATTAAGGTGACGGTAAATTATTAAAAATACCATTATATCATTATATTCTGGAATCTGGATTGAATGGGATTTGGGTCATTGGAATAGGTAAGAAGTTAGGTATTTAATTGCCTCAAAAAGTCTTGTTCGATTAATTGGATCAGGATTTATTAATGAAATATGAAAACATTTAGACGTACGACTTTCAAATATCTTTAATATATGCTTCATTAACATTTTAATATTCTTCAAAACGTAATAATTATAATTTACGCATCACGTGACATCTCAAGAAATCCTAAAAGACACCTTATTTACGTGGCACTTTTAAACCCTGTTTTTTCTCTAAAAACAAACAACACACTGATGAAAGAAATCATAAATCGAAATACCAAAAATTAAAGCAAAGAAAGAATGCAATAAAGAAAAAAGAAAAATAGAAAGAATTTCGTAATAGTAAGTATTGTTATTTCTATTATTACCAATTGATATTTAATTCTGTGGGAGTGATTCTTAAAATTTATTGTGAACCTTGGTTTCTTAAATATTGTGGAGAGTTTCACAAAATTTATTGTGAACCGTGGTTTCTAAAAATATAATTCTCATAAATTGCGATTTGAAGTTGAATTAAACAAACTTGTTCGATGATAAAATCTAATAAATATTATAAAGCGTTAAAAATATTGCCATGCATGGCTATAATTGTATAGATTAAGTATTAAATAATCTATTATAACTAGGAAACGGCAAGCCGTTGTTAAGTCCGGAGCTAAGGTTTTAACCAATAAAGGACGATGAATTGTATATCACGTGATTATTATTTCTTAACTAATATAATACAAAAAAATTGATATACGTGATGCAAAAAATTTCCCCGGTCTTTCGTTCGTTGCAGTGTCAAGAGTTCGCTTGCTTAACGACATTTATTTCAAGCAGTTTACTTATGAAAGACTTCAACGGATTCAGAGTTGCATAAGATTACAAGAAAGGAAGGCCGAAGAAGAAAGCCTAATTTCTATGATATCGAGAGAGTGAACAAAATTTTTTTTATTGTGCTATTTTTTAGTGATTTTTTTTAGTGATATATTTTTAGTGGTATATTTATTTTAGTTTAGTTAATTTAAATTTAAAAACGTAAACAATAACATGCTATTTTACTATTTTAAAGTTTATGCATCAATAGGAACCAATAATATTGATCGACTCAGGGGGAAAACGGACATCTTGAGTCAAACAGCGTAGAATTATATAGTCCTCCGCTTCGCTCCAGACTAATTAGAAATTCAATAATTCTCGCCTGCGTGTTACTTGGATAACTTCTATTAATAATATGTATGCTGCTGAAATTTATTATGATGTCTCCTCTCTGAAATTTCTTGGTGCTCACTTTGATTGGTTACTCGCTCTTCTTTTTCCTTATCAATATATTTTCAGGTTACCTATGCCTAGAAAGCAAAGAATAAATTACAGTTAATATAAACAAGTAATAATTAAGGAGATAGCTGGACGCAGGAATATACTAAAGTAAATTCTTATATAATAAATGAAGATACATATCCCGATTCTTCTTTCAAAATCAGTAGATCCTAATCAAAAATTTATATTGATAGATCCCATGAAAAAACGCATCCACCTTCAGAACTTGTAAGGATAAGTACCAACCTCACTAAAACAGGTACAAGAATGTCCCATATGTCTAAATTTATACTCATCAAATGTACCTTTTGTCTTTCAGCAGTAACAAATCTCTTGTAAGTAGCTTCAAAAAAAAGTTGTATTACTAAAAAAATAATCAGAAAAGACGCATCATGTTAGATTTTTAGTTACGCATTTTTGTCAAACCATCAGTCACATTATAGTGCAGCGATTTTTTGTTGATCCAGATTTATTTGTTAAAAAAATTGTAATACAAAAAATCATTTTCTTTTTGAATTTCTTGACTCTTACTTCAGGTTTGATTGCTTCGGTGTAGTGATCGAATATATATTATTTTAATAAATCTCAGAATTTTTATTTATTTTTACTTTTTTATTACTTTTAGGTTATTCACTTCTTTGGGTCGGTAAAAATCATTAACCATTATGAGTTGTAACTATAAATAATAACGCGTCTCAATATTTTATTGTAATCATGATCAGTTGTATCATATTAATAAAAATAACACGTCTCAATAATTTATTTTTAGAAATCAGTAACCATGAAGAGTTGTAAAAATAAATTATAACAAGTCAATAATTTATTTTTAAAAATCTGTAATCACATGATCAGTTGGATCAATAAAAAATAACGCGTCTCAATAATTTTTTTTAGAAATCAGTAGCCATGATAATAAATAATAATGCATCTTTCAATAGATCAATAGATCAGTAATGTAAATATAAACATTTTGCATTACGCGTCTTTGATTTTATTATAAATACTCTCCACCTCACCTCTTAAAAATTTTAACTTTCTCCACATCACCCCTCAAAAACTTTCAACATTTTTCCTTTACCCTTCCCTTATAAATTTTACCTTTCCTCTTAAAAATTTCAACATTTTTTCCTTTACCCTTTCCTTATAAATTTTACCTCACCTTTCAAAAATTTTAACATTTTTTTCCTTTACCCTTCCTTATAAATTACCTCACCTCTCAAAAATTACAACTTCTTTTCTTTTATTATTCCCTTTATTCTCCCTGGTATGAATTTTTTTATTGAGTTTTTTAAAAATGCATTACTTTCTTTTCTAAAGTTTCTTTTTGTATGTATTTTTTTTAGGAGACCATATACTAATATGAAAAACTTCTCTATTATAAAACTCTCCAGATTGGTTGTGAGATCTACTGATTCTGAAGATGGAGTCAGTTATATTCCTTCCATGTAACCAGTCTGATTTAGGTAGTGAAAATATATTATGAGATAACTTCAGTGTTCTAGTGTGATATGTATTTTTTTTTGAAATTAATTTGATTATACTAATTGAAAATTTTTCTAATAAAATTCTCAAGCAGTAGACAGACAGATGGATAGATGGATAGAATGGCAGAATCTGAAGAAAGAAAATTGGATGAGGATATTACGGCTAGTATATATTTTATTAAATTTTTTTTTTTGAAACTAATTGAAAAATTTTCCAATAAAAATTCTCAAATAGCGAACAGATGGATAGACAGAATAGTATGAAGTTTAAAATTTGAAGAAATTAGATGCGAGAATATTATGATATAGATTTAAATTCTTCCTTAAATTTAATTTAACTTTTGTTTTTGATTTTTTGAATAATTTCTAATTTATTTTTATTTTTAATTTTTAATTAGGATGGGATGGGATTTAGGAATGTAATGGACATTTATAGGAAGGAACAAAGATGCATTTATAATTGAAATATGGGAGTGTTTCTAAGAAAATCAGGTTCTGAGAAATTTTTGATTAAAATTAAGAGTTTAATACATTTTAATCTAATAACATCAAAAACTAAAATGCAATAAAATTCTCAATTTTGCTAAAAAATTTCCAGAATCTTATTTTCCTAGCAATCAAATTTATATAATAATATAGTCCAGTGCAAAAATGTAGATACACCAATATATTTATAGTAAAAAAATAAATTTTTAAATTTAATATAAACATTTAAACATTTTTATTTATTATATAGATTTTGAGAAATATTTTTTATATAAGTTTTATTAAAATATAAAATTTCTATAAAAATTTTATTAATCATCAATTTCTTCAATTTCAGAATATTTATAATCACTTTCAGCAATAAAATATCATCATTTGATTCTTTATATTCTATGGCTTTGTCAAGTGCTCTTTTCCAAAATTTAACAATAACTTTAGTGATAACCTTTTCATTAAAGACATGCAACAATTTGTCTCTAATAGTAAAAGATTTGGGTGAGGACTAGACCTAACAACCTCATCTTTAATAGTTGATCAAACTCCTTTAATTGGTTAGAGTTCACCAGAGTGTAAAACAAATTTTAATCATATTCTCTAGCTATCTTAATACACTTAAAAGGTATATTTGCTTTATTTTATTTTATTAACTCATATAATTCTGCATTAGTAGAATTTTCTAAAATATTAATACCAGCTGAAGTTAACTAAGCAATTAATGCATTCATTTTTGAGTTTGATGTTAGCACTTATTCAACTCGATGTTTGTAATACTAAACACTATCCATATAAATATTTATTAGCCTATAGCATTCCTTAATATTAGCATAGAGTTTATCAAAAAGATCTTTGAATATTTTAGCTGTAAAATTCCCATGATAGTCAATATGGTTCGCTGCAATATTAGAATTTTGAATAACTTTAGGAATATTATTTCAGATATTAGCATTTGCTCATTTTCTCCTTCTTGATAAAGGTAGTTTTATTAATAATATCACAATGTATGAAGTAAATGAAGTAATTGCTATTTTGATAATTTATGGCCATTTTCTTCAAGCTTTTATCATAAAATTTGTATTGAAAGTGAAATATTAGAGGTGTTTGCAGATATAATAAAACTTCGTAAAATTTTGGGAATATTATGGTCAAATGTATTTTTTGGCTGACCTAGGATTTTTTGTATTTGAAATTCTCCATTATTTTTTTATTTTATTCAGCAACCACCTACGCAACTATTACCTCTTCAATACTAAGAATTGCAGTAACTTTCTTGTGTAATAATAAGTCATGATGTTGCTTTTGGTATTATTAAACCTTTAAAAAATGTTGATAGATATTAAAAACTATCTTTCATTCATTATCAGTTAAATCATCTATGAGAAAAATAAAGTTTGAAGTTAGTAAGCTATTTAAACTTTGAACATAATCTAACCTTTCACATCATTTGTACACTTAAATAACAAAATTGTTAGATTTTATATCAGATGAGAAAATTAGATAATGATTTTTGTGTATCAATCTTTTTACACTGGATCATATTTAATAAAAAAAGTAAATTTTTTGATTAATTTAAATTAAAAATAAAATTTGATTTATTTATTTTTTAAATTTTTTGCTTCATTTGTTTGACATTATTATATAATCCTTAAAAATTTATAATGATAAATTATTTCTATTATTTCTATTTTGTTAAAAAAAATATTTTTAATATTTAAATTTATTTTTGAAAGTTTGAAATTAAAATCATGTTTCATAAATTGATTATTAATAATAAATGACCCATTTATATTCTTTTAACATTAAAAAATGTTTTTTACTTTTAAAAAATTTTGATTTTATATAAATTAGATTATAAATTTCTAAAAGTAATTTAAATCTATGAATAATTATACCAGATAATAGTAAACTTGCATAATTTCATTAAGTAAATTATCAGTTTAAGTTAGACTAAGACTGTAACAAACTGGTGTTAAACCTAAAATCATTTTAAACCAAGTTAACAAAACTAATAAACTTAATAATACAATTATCTCAAAGGCCTTTCCTAAGAGTAATTAATGATTAACAAATAAAACAATTTATTATTACAATTTACTTGTGTAAAAGATTATCACGATCAATCCTATAATAAAGACAAGAAGAAGATTGAAAGTATAAAATAGTAACTTTATTAACTTGTAAATCATAAGTTTAATCTCAAGATTTATTCAGAAAACTATCTAATCAAACTCTCTTTAACGTTAAAATTTGTTAGCTTAAAATCAACTTATAGGTTTATTTATATAATATTATTAACTAGTACTATATTACGCTTTTTGATAAGTATATATACTTTTTAAGGATTCATTAACAATTATTTATTCATTTTCATCCAGTTTATTATATTCCTTATTTTGTCTAATTCATCATATTTTTTATTATCATACAATTCATTTTCAAGTCTATTGATATCAGTATCAGATTCTTCTTCTTCTTCAAATTTATTTCTTCACCAAGTTCATTATATTTGTCAAGTTCATATTTATTTAAATCGGGTTCTTTAAGTTTACTATAATTTTCATCCAGTTCATATACCATATAATTATTATTACTATAAATATTTTTTCTTTTATTTAGTAATTGTAAGGATATCTTATCATAACGTTGTTCTAATAAAAAAGTGATATAGATTAAATAAAATATAATGATTTTAGAATATTTTATCAGCTAAAAAAAATAGCAAAAGAATCTATTTATACAATCAATTTATTACTAAAAATAAAAACAAAGAAAAAATAATTTAGTACAAACTAACTTTTTATATAAAATAATATGATATAGTAGTTTAATTATAATACATTAAAATATAAAATGTATATATAAATAAAATTATATATAAAATAAATAGTCTAATTATTACCCCTTATTCTGTAATGCAGATAAATTTGCCTACATAAATATAGTAGTATGTGAAAGATTATAAGATGAAGGGATAATAAATAATAAATTAATTAATTAACTTTTCTTTATTTTCCATTTTTAGTAATTCATTGTATATCAAGATTTTTCATAAATAGTATATATAATATTATAGTAGTTTAATTATTATAAATAATAAAAATATTTAAAAATATATAAATAGACGATATATATAGAAGCCTAATTATAATAATAATAAATTAAGTTTTTTTTTTACTTTTTTAGAAATTCGCAATATATAAAATAATAATAATAAAAAAGTATATAATAGTCTAAAATTATAAATTAACTTTTATTGATTAAATTAAATATATAATATAAATAATTAGCGACAAAAATTTTTTAAAAAAATTTAAAGCAATATTAAATGAATAAAATATTATGATTATAAATACAAATATCCTATAATTTAAAATAGCTCAAACTCATGGATGTAGACGAGCTATCAAAAATGATTTATCTGAAAAACAAGAATAATTCAAAGTTTGTAGACGTGGGCAAGGATGAGGCTGTAGACGTGAATGTAAATGTGAAAGTGAAAGTGGAAGTGAAAAATTTGAAGTTTTAAAAGATAATAACTATGATAAGAATCCACTAAAATCTTCTTATTTCTAGAAAATACAGATTCATCTCAACGTAATACGCATATTTTAGAAGAATTTGATGATATATCAGCTCCTATACATAAAATATCTAGATATTCAGATACAACTATTTCTTTACAATAATATTATAGAAATTTAGATGATATATCAGCTCCTATACTTATAACATCCATCAAGGGATTAAAATGCTTTACTTCCTTTGCATCATGTTTGTGAAAATTTGACAATATATCAGCTCCTAATCTTGCAATTCAAAATTCAAACATATCTGTTTGTCAAGTTCATGAAAATTTGATTGAATCTAATAATATGTTAGCTTTTGGACGTGAAATATCAAAGAATCTGAATACATCAGTTCATCAATTTTATGAAAGTTCAATCAATTTTGATAATATATTAGCTCCTAATCGTGCAATATAGAATTCAGACTAAAGATGATGTTACAATATTGTGACACTTATTTGTCACCTGTTGCAACTTAAATTTTAATAATGTTGCAATTCATTGCAATATTGTGATGCTTATTTTCACCTGTTGCAACTAATTAAGGTGTCATCTTTAATCCAGACACATTAGTTCGTCAAGTTCATGAAAATTCAATTGAATCTAATATATCATCTTCTAGGCGTATAAAACTAAGGAATTTGAACACATCAGTTTCATCAATTTCATGAAAGTTCAATCAATCTTGATAATACATCAGCTTCTGGTTATGCAATACAGAATCCAGATATATCAGTTTATCAAGTTCAAGGAAATTTGATTGAACCGAATATATCATCTCCTAGACATATAATACCAAAGAATTTGAACACATCAGTTCATCAATTTCGTGAAATTTTGATTGACTTTGACAATATATCAGCTCCTACGCATATAATACTAAGGAATTTATCAGAAGCATCAATTTCTATATGGCCATTTAATTCATCTACTGCTCCTACACTTCCATCATGTTTTAATAATATAGATACAATTTTCAACTTGCAAATTAGTTGTGTTCGAATCTGAATGTTCTCCAATTTGCTAATGCTATGTATTCATCAATGCAATTATCACTTGTAAATAGACAACAGTCAATGCCATCAATTTTAAATTCGATAATATTACAATCACAATTGACATTTCAAAAAGATAAGGTAAGATTCTTTATTTTTGTTTTTGATTATTTTAAAAAGCTACTAATAAAATTTATTTACAGTCAAAGGATAGTCACAATTATTTAGAAGAACTGAAATGTCTTTTTCTTCGTATTTAAATCCTCCAAAATATGCATTTGAAGAGTTAGTATAACAAATAATAAAATGCGAACTTAATTCAGCCGAAGGTTAGAATGGTTGAAGATTGAGTATTGATATTTTAGTAACTTCTGGAATAAATTTCTCGATGAAATAAAAAAATTAGTAATTTCAATTAAGAAAAAAAGAACAAAGTTAGTATCCCTTTTTGACTTTAGTTTATATTTATTTTAACAAAAAATTTTAATAAAATTTTATATTTTATTAGGCAAGGCAAATTCTTATAACAACTTTACTGTGACAAGAAAACGTTGATAACTTCATTGATGAAGAAATGACAATGAGTGATGATTAAGTGTTGTGAAAATTGACAAATTAAAAGCAAACAATTTGTTAATTTATTTAAGTCATCTAGTTAAAAAGACACTCATTCTTAATTAAGCTATCAGAGATACAGAAGGGACAAAATCCTTGGATAAAATAACATAAAACATATTCGTTCTATCTCAAAATAGTAAAAATTACGCTTCTAATTTACAATTATAAAGTGGGCTAGTTATTATAATGATTGTATTTATCGATAATATAATAATATATTGTTATTTAGCAATAGAAATTAAATTTTATTACAATGCTGCATTAAAATAGGCATTTTTATTTATCTGAGTTAAAATAGATATATTTATCTATTATAGTAAAAATTTTTATTAAAATAATTGCTTCAAATAAAAATTTATCTAAACGAAATAAATGTATTTATTATAAACATTGTTAAATGTTATTTAATTTATCGACAAAATATCTTGGATTAATTTTTTCTATTTTACTTTCTGATTTATTAATATATTTATTACACTTTATTAATGTTCCAAAAATATTTATAATTGAAAAATTAACAAAATTCTTACGAATTCACCAAGCTAACATGCGGCCACATGATTGATGCAAATTTGGGTCAGTTTCATAACAACTAGGATGCAAATCATCAGATTTCTGCAAAGTATGCAAAAAACATTTTTTATTTAATAAAATACAATGTCCTCAATTTTATTTTATTTTTTTTTTTAAATATAATATACTGTATATATGATATGAATAAACATAAAAATATTCAATTCTTTTTAAATCTAATATAAGTATCAAATATCTTGCAATAAGTGATACCAGCTTCAAAACTTTTTATAATAGGTTGATTTGAAATGGTTGATTCGATATCATATCTTAAAAAGAAATGCACAAGAAAAGTTTAAAGTTACACCATAATAAGAAATCTATCAAGGCAATGCCTAATACCTCTACCAAATTGAAAGAAGGTTTTTGGCCTTTTTGATTCATTATCCAAGAATCTTTCAGGTTTAAAATTTTCTAGGCAAATAACCTTCCTTGATGTCAATATACATCATCCCTTTCACAATTAAAATATATCAGATAATATTACTTTTCTTGATATTAGAAAGTATAAAGAAATTTGTTGATATGATTTGTAGTTTTAATTGAAACATTTTATAATCAATAACACTTTCTTAAAAGATTTTAATCTGAGAATCACTACTTCTCATTAGTCATTTTTTACTTAAATTCTTTCAATTGATTTTTGATAATTCAAAATTTGTATAAAATGTCAAAAAGTTTAGCATTAGTTTTATTGCAAACCCTTAAGTTTCAAAATTTTCTCAACTTGAATCACTTTTAACATCTTTACTATTTTCATTACTTTTAGTTAAACATTTTCATCTTTGTTATCTTTTTAGAAGCAAAATTTTGAAGAACAAAATGAAATATAGAGCACACATTTTATTATTAAAAATTTTATTTGATGCCTTTAATTTTTATAATAATAAATATTGAAAAGTTTACCTTAGAATCATCTCTTTATGATTATAGTTTTAGTAATGATAATTTTATACTAAATTTAATATCCTTACAAATTAATACTCGCGTTAGTTCATCTACACAAAGTTTATATATTTAATTCGATCAAATCCTCAACTTTAATCTCTTTTGATTAATAAAACACCAAATGCTATTAAACATTATTCCAATTCATTAACTTCAATTAAGTTTGAAGTTTGTAATTTTACACTTGCCCTATTTTTGGATGGTTTTGAATCCCTTAAAATGGCTTAGATCTCTTCAGTTTATTAATTGTTTAAGATTAATGATGCAAATTTTAAAACATTATTTGATCTTTTAAATGTATTGGTACAATCTCAGAAATGGATTTATTACTTCAATTGTTTGGTTCTTATTTAGAATATTTGGAATTATGATTTTTTTTAGATATTGTGAAGAAAGTAGTTTTAGAGAGCATTGTCAAATATTGTGATAATATTATATTTAACAAGGTCATTCAAAAGAAGAAACACTTGATATCTTACTATTAAAAGTGAGCATAATTTTAAAAACAGTCTGTCAGAATCAAATTTGTTAAAGGGTTTGAAACTTTTATCAAATCATTTGAATTACTTAAATTTGAAATTTCCATTGAAATGATTTTTGGATAATTGCAATCACCATATTTCTTTGAATACATTAATACTTAGAAACTACTACTGTTACTATAAGGATACCAATACCTTTTTATGATTTTCAAAAATTTTGTAGAACAGAATAAGGTGAAAAATGTTATATATCAAGTTGTAAATTCCTTTAGTTCTATGGATTTGAAACATCTTCATTTGGAGAGTTTGGCTGATCAATTTCAGACTTTTGTTAACATTAGGATGTTGATACCATGTGAAGTCAATCTTACTGTGCCATAAAGATTGACGAATGATTAACGTTATTAACTCCTTTAGCATTTTTAACATAGTCAACGTTTTTATTTAATTTATTTTATTCTGATATTTTATTATTATTATTTATTAAATTATTATCATCGTTAAATTATAGTTTATCTTTTATATTTATTTTATCATTAAAAAATATTTTAGTGATAGTTAGCAATTTCTTATAATTGTATTTTTGTATAAATAGGATAGAAATTTATCCTTGTAAAAGGACAGAGATAACAGTGTTGTTAGTGATAATCCGTTTGCG